TTTTTGTGTTTCATTTATTTGAATTCTTAAGATAATTTTTTCATGTATAACAATTGTCATTTCTGGTAGTTACAAATAGTGACCAGGCCAGCAAAACCACTGAATTTAACTTAGCAAAGGCAGTGCTATTCTCACAATATGCTTAGTAATCTGTAGTAACTGTTTTGAAACCTTTGGCTACCATTTCTAATTGGAGAATATTTGCTCATAGCCCCACCCACTTACCCCCGCCACCTCTGCAGAGCACTTAGCACCATCAAATTATTTCACAGTTGTCTGATCCCAATTTTAAAGTGCCTGTGCCAGCCATGTACACAGAGCAGAGATGGAAATCATGTAATGTGCCAGATGTGTTGGGCTGCAAGTCCTAACGCACATAGCTCGCTTATCCAATTCTGAAGAACATCTGGCAGAGCACATGATTCATACCTCAGCGCAGTTTATCAATTCTCTACATTGAACATGTGAAGAGATTATTGCTTTCTGTCACTTTCTTAGCTTTGTTTGAAACGTTGTTCTTTATTTTCCCCTTAATTTCTTTCAAATGACAGCTAATGGAAGAAGAATGAATATACAAGTATCAAGCTGTAATAAAAAGATACCAATGAGTCATCTGTGCTTACTGCAGAACTTTTTTCAGTCTCAGCAATCTTGCATTGTGTTAACTTGCTGGTCTTGGCTGAATCTGTAATACATCGAAACCCTCTTTTTTGTCAGCTTCTGATTTATTCAGCTATTTCTGCACCCATTGCTTCTTATCATATCTCAGTAGGAGAGTCTTCATTCTTGAAATATTGTGTTTTTTGTTACATGGCAAGCTTGCTAAAATGTAAAGGCGGTGAGCAATCCCTTTAGGCAGTCAGAATGTCAACCATGCTTATTTGACATACACATGTTCCTCTTAATGATTATTAGCCCGTGAATGGGTTATCAAATTTCAAATTATGTAAAAGTATTGTATTACAATACTATAATTCTCAAATAAATATTTGTGTTTAATATCCATATTTTTTATTTTCAGTATTTATATACTATATTTAATTTTCAGACTGGGCAACCTCTTCCTCTCTATAGCTTCTTGGTGTTTGTTGTGGTCTTCTCAAAAAGTAACTAGTACAATATGTGACTATGTGACTATTAGGTTGGGAACTGGTTAACTGACCAAACCCAAAGGGTGCTTACCAATGACCTTTCTTCATCTTGGAGAGACGTGACTAGTGGGGTGCCTCAAGGTTCTGCCCTTGACCCAGTGCTATTCAACATCTTTATTCAATGATTTGGACTCTATCCAATGACTTGGGTGATGGAAAAGAAGGCATGCTTATCAAAGTTGCAGATAACACCAAATTAGGAGCAATAGCTAATACTCCGGATAAGACTGAAGGAGTCCTGCTTCAGCCACTGAAGAGCTGCTACTACAACTTCTTAGATTCCAGCCTTGCAAATAAAAGTTTAAGAAGTATCAATTCATCTCCCTTTTGCCTTGAATTTTTCTTAATTTTTTCCATCTTGAACTCTCAAAAAGAGGGAGAGAAATGGAATAGGCAGACTGCCAGGAGCATTGTTCTTTGTTTCCACAGCACAGACTAATAGCTGCTGACATCATAAATCTGAGAGAGAGAAAGCAATATTGTGGTAAACAGGGATACATGATGATTGTGGAACTGTCTTTGCTACTTCATCTACTCTTAAAGTCAACCATAATTTAAGTCTTAGTTATTAGGAAATTCTTATATCTCCCAAGACATTAACTAATCATCTGTCATATTAGATCTCTGTGGCACTTGAAACATGCATAATGTAACTTGTAAAATAGAATTTAGACTGTTCTGGTATCCATATCACTTTTTTCGTTTCTGAAGTATCCTATTAGTCTGTATCTTAATACAGACAGTCTCAGAGATTTAAACAAGATAGCTTTGTTCTTAAGTTGAATTGTGTGTAAGTTAGAAAAGGTACATTTTTAAGTGTAACTCCAGCCTTTAAAAAACAATGTTTTGGATAGCACAGGGAAGGGTGAACAGTCCCATAACATTTATTTTGTTGTCTGTGCCCCTGTTCAGAAGATTTCACCTCACTTTCTGTGACAATTGGGATTTTGAAAGTTATGGATTGTCATGGTAAGGCTTCAGTAGGGACACCTTTTTCACATGCCAACTCTTTCCCTTCCTAGAGCTGGATGGCCTCTCACTTCCTCACCCATGTTTGTAACTAAGAAATGTATGTAAGTTGGAGGTTTGTAGTCCAGGGACTGCCTATGGTATGCATTAGTTTTTGATCCTCTGTCTTGCTTTCCAGTTAATCAGATCAGTCATCTAAACATGTGCTTGATCCTCCATGGCAAGTGTTTGAAGGCTGTTAGTGAAGTAAACCTGAACCTGGGATTTCCAAGGTTCTGAATAGTAACTCCACTTCACTTTCAAATATTTGTCAATAAATTCAATCTTCTTAAATGTTGAATGTTAACAGGCTGAGGAAGAGATGCTCACTAGATTTTGCTATTACAGATGTTAGGAATTTTGCCACTGTTTCACTTTTTGGGAAGGCATGACCTTCTATATCATAACCTTTTGGAAAAATGATGCCATAACCTTTTGGAAAATGGCATTCACCATAACCTTTTGGGAAATGAAATTTCCCTGAGAAAAGTTAAAAACTCGCTTGAGTCAACCTTCTCCTTAGTGGTAAATATCTACCAGCATTCATTGCAAGGCAATTAGGTTTCTCAGCTGTTAAACTGATACACCCAGGTATCTGTTTGAACTGTTAGGGACAAAGATATGCCAATTCACAAACACACACACATACATATAGCAGAGTTTCAGAAGTGTTGTTTCAGTTGCCCAAAAACCTCTACTACTATATCCCTTAAAACATCTTGGTTTAAATCATGCTCTCAAAAGACAAAAGTAAAGTAGCCTTTGTTAAAATAAAATAATTGGTTTACTCACAAACTTCATCTATTCAGCATACAGGTACTTTCTCCGTTCTGAGAGTCTAATACAGTCTGTGTAGTTTGCAAGTCCAATGGTGTCTGAACTGTACTGTTTCTACTGGCGCCTGAAAACATAGTGTTTCTACATTGAAAGTCTAATGGCTTCTGCCTTCCTAAAATGAGTCTGAGTCCTGAATAGTCCCAGATCTGATCACATGGTCTGCAGCCCCTCCCACAACATAGAGTTAAAGAAAACTGCATACCAACACACACGTATACAATACAGTAAGCAATCTGAATTGTATACATAACAAGACAGCTAGTGAAGGCTTGAAGAAGGTTGCTATTTCCAACATCACTAGATATAAACCAAGGTGTACCAGCTAGTTATTTTGAGGAAAAAACATGTTGATACAATATTGGGGACCTTGGGTACCACACCTTCAGCAACTCACAAAAGGCCACTAAATATACCAGAGCCACCTCCTATTTGTAGCTCATGGGCTGGTTATGAACTAAGAATAGAAACTTAGTAAACTGGGAATAGGCAACATCCTCCAGATATTTATTTTCTTCTGCTCCATGATTCTACAACATTGGTTCCATTAGCCAGGAGTGGTGGCATTGTAGGACAAACTTCTGGAGCATTGTAATTGCCCATACCTGTTGAAGACTGAAGAAAAGAACCAGAAATAATGAGTTTGATTTTTTTTTTAAAGTTTTCATTGTTTATTTTAAGCGTGGACTATCAAATATGAAGATGGGGAATTAGGCTGGAAATCAAGGATTTTGGTCTGCCTGGATTCCCTATCTTTATCTTATATAACATTTGAGATTGCCCTAGGCATGGTCCACATATTCCCCCAATGTTTTCCCTGTGCAGCACAGATGCTAGAAATCTCATTGCCTACTACATCATTTAAAAAACAAACACACACTGATATCCAGAGGATACAAGAGTCTGTTCTTAATGTGAATTGTAATTACACAGATGGCTAGAGCAACTGATTTTTTTTTTAAAATCTAAACAGCATGTGAGTTGTTTTGTTTTTCTAAACTGACATGGAAATTGTTGACGTGATCATACAAACGTTTGAATCTGCAAACCTCTCCACTTACTACAGGAAAAATTAGCAGGAGCTTACTTATTAAAAGTGCTAAATTAGTCTGCTTTCAGGGAGAACTGTTATCAAAATGAATACATCTATGTTGAATATATGGTACACCTAGAGTGAACATTACTTCATTTATTTCTCTTTAAGACAGTTAATGTTGCTGAGTGATTTGATGTCAATAGTTCAACCATAAAATATTTAATATCTAGTAATAGCCTAAAAACTCAGGCAAAATGAAACAGTGGCAACCTATTGTTGTTTATTATAGTTTGTTATTCTCATTTTAGTTGTGTGTTCCTTCATTAACAACTTTTGATGGCTTCACCACACTGCTTACATATGTTCTGGTTTTCATCTGGAAAATGTAGGAGGGTGCTTAATGATAGGCATAAATACCCTAAAGCTGACAGATCCTGTCAGATCTTGGAAGCTAGGAGGGGTTACACCAGATTGGTACTTTGATGTGAGACTGCCATTGAATACTAGGTGCTATAGGCTATATTTCAGAGATAAATTTGAGAAAACCACCTCTGAATATTCCTTGCCTAAGAAAACCAAATGGGTCAGCCATAAGGTAACAGGTAAATTGAAGGCACATAAACACACAAAGCCAGCAGAAGAAATGATGGAAATGTGATGAGTTCTTACTTGATACTAGTTTAATCATGAAAGCTAGCTCAGATGTCTGGGATAGATTTATATTAAGGATCTGGAATAATCTTGGAAATGTTTAGCAACGCTATTGAAAATGGTAGGGTGAAGCTTCCATTGTATCAGCGAAATGAAAATAACAAATCTTGACAATGTAGCACTGATATAAAACTATAGCTTGATCAGTTGAAGGAATGGGTTTCTAAATAACTGGGAAACTATGGATTTTGATTGTTTATGGATCTTAATCAGTTTTAATTGCTTGTGTCCTATAGAAGAAGTAATGCTTGATTTTTCTCTTGCAGGGTAATCACTTTGATCAGTATGAAGAAGGCCATCTGGAAATTGAGCAGGCATCTTTAGACAAGCCTATAGAATCGGTAAGCAATCACTTTTGACTTTCAAGCCCCCAGTAGGCCAGATAGTTGTTCACATGTTCTTTGGAAGTTCCACTAGCCAATTCCGATCATATTTTTAGAAGAAAACTGAAGGGTGTGTGTTAATATATTTGGATGTATTCCATTACTTTTCAAGTGAGGCAAGTCACTATCTCGTCTAAGAAGTTATTTTAAACAACAAATAGGAAAATCTAATTCTTATTAAAAGATGGCAGCTTATGTTGTCAAATGCTGAATACAACTCTTTTGAGTATATAGATTTGGTGGATAATATTTGATATATTTGATCCTCTTTAGTTGAAATTCTCTTTGGCATAGGCATGGAAAATACACAATAAAAATTTTAGCATTTGGAAGAATGTAATATAAATAAATGGCCTACACAGGATTTTTTTTCCAAGTTACCTATAAAGGGACAAAAAGGGAGGAGTTACATTTTGCTCACTTGCCCATTTGCATTTCAAGCATGTCAGCTTTTCTTGAGATACATCTATGCTTGTTCTCCCCAATACTGAGTAGCAGCCATTTCTGTAGCCAAAACATGTATTTGAGATTCAGCATTTGCATTGACTGTAATCTCATTGGAGTAGTCATTGAAAAGGAAATGAGATTGATACTTATGAGAAGGCTGTGGAAATGAAAACAAAACATGGAGAGGATGAGCATTTTAGGACACAGCATGGGTTAACAAAGTAATATTTCTGGCATGCACAGTTCCCAAGACTATTTTGAGACCCACAATGGTGTGCAGTGTCTGAAAAAGGACCCCCCCCCCCAAAAAAAAATGTCAGTGTGGAAGAAGCAATTTTGCCATGTTGTGATCCCCCAGACCAGGGGTACGGCCCTCCAAGGTCATTTACCTGGCCCTCACGCAAGGTCAACCTAAGTCAGAAGCGACTTGAAAGCACACAACAACAATCCTCTCTCATCAGCCAAAAGCAGGCCCACACTTCCCACTGAAATACTAATAAGTTTATCTTTGCTAAAATTGTTCTTCATTTTAATTATTGTATTGTTTTTAAGTGGTTTTTTTGCACTACAAATAAGATATGTGCAGTGTGCATAAGAATTCATTCATTTTTTTTCCAAATTATAATCCGGCCCTCCAACAGTTCAAGGGATTGTGACTTGGCCCTCTGTTGAAAAAGTTTGTGGACCCCTGTCCCAGACTGTTTTAAATTCAGGGGAAACCTTTTTAAAACCAGGAAGTAAAACTTAACAAGAGAGTTCTGCGGGAAACATTTTTAAGGACAAAAACTGGAGAGGTGGTTCAGCCCTCCATAAGGGGGGCAGGGACCCCACCAACCCAGATCTGGATTGGTAGATATATTTAACCTTTGAACATGTCCTGTTTGGTTCTGTCTTTGGACTTGTATGCCACATCCTTCCTTGGCCTGTACTCTTGAGCATTCATAGAGTCCCCTGCGCTTCTGATTTTCTGTTCTTGTAAGCAGTATTTCAGCCATGTTGGCCTTGCCAACATCTCATAATTATCCTTGCAGTTTTCAGTATAGCCACACTGATGACATATTTACTATGATAGGAAAGCTTGGCATTTAGAGTTGGCATTTTGCACTGTGGTATCCAACATGCACAAGAGGCCCCTAAAGTAACAGTTTTGAAGATCAATTGACTCTCCTTGGTCAAATCTAAGTGAATCTAACACAGCGGGACTTCATGCAGTCCTGCTGTATTGTTAACATATTATTACATCCAAATTAAAGAAGTGTATCTGTAGGCTAGTACTTTAGTATCACATGTGAAGCAGCTTTGTGAGTCCTAATATCTTCTTAAAGAGTCTTGGAACTTCTGGATTCCTTAAAATAGTATACTTTCCTCACTTTGTACTGCTGTTAAAAAGTCAGCATGCATACGTTTGCCTTTAGGGGAGATGGGTCGGGGTATGGGCCTTAGTGAGGTGATAATACCAGAATTACATGAGAAGGTGCTGTCAATACTAGCAATACTTCTGTCCAGTCAGTGCTAGCAATAGTTCAATCCAGTTATCTTGAGATGGTCAAGCATTTTCCATAACACATTCTCCTTTGGCCCTTGTTAGAGAAATACCCATTACATTTCTCATCTCAACACAAAAGCCAGTGTTCCATCATTGGGCTACATACTGCTCCGCAGTAGTCTCAGCTGTGAAGTTAACCCAGCCTTGTTAATGTTTGGCCTTGAGACTACTGACTGTAGACTGTTCCCAGTACCATTGCATTTGTGAATGCTTTTAGAGAACTCTAGTGTTAGGAGAAAAGCAATATATAAACATATAATTGCTTTCCTTTGTAGTAGATTGGTGTTTGTGTGTGCGTATTTGTGTGCGTGTTGAGCTGTTCTCAGAAATTTACACAACTTGGGGTGTTCGACATTTTTTCTTCCACAGCAGTTGGCCCAAATTAGCTAAGCAGCCATGACCTGGTTTGTATTTGCACGGTCTGCATTTATAATTTCTTTTCTAGGGTTTCCTCTCCTTTTCCCTTCTTCTCTTCCCTCTCCATCTCTTATTTCTGTTCTTCTGGTCCAGTGAACACTGCATTCAGTATCTACTGTCTTATTGTGCTGGCATGATGCTAGAATTAGGCATGGCGGTCATTGATGACACATGAAATAATGCTGCAGAGGGGGTGGGAAGGACAAGAGTGATGCAGCTGCACTTAACTCTGCTGAATTATTCAGTCTTGTTTGTGCACGTACATAGAGAGACATGCAGACACACTCCAATTGAAATGCAAAGCCAGTTGCCCTCTGTGCAAATGTCATGGAATAGGTAGCACTGAGGCAATGTTGGAGACATTGCTACCAGGACAGTTGCCTCAGATTTGCAGCAACCTTATGTTTTGTGTCACGAGTAGAACTCTGTCCCTTTACATAGCCAAGAATAGGAAGGTCCCATTTAAAGGTTGCCTTGTTAATGTGTGATCAATGTAAGACCTAACATTTTGATTCACACTCACAAATTTATGTGATTTGAGTTCAGAACTCTCCCTTCTATGAATAGAGATTTTTTTTACAAGAAATATGCGGTCTATTTAGTGTGAAAAATGCTTTATCCTTGATGAGGTTTTGTTTGTTTTGTTTGTTTTTGCAACAACCTGTGTTTCTTGTTCTCATAATTAGTTGGATCAAATTTGGCTTGTTAAAACTTAATTATCTTTAAAATGAATTGGGGAAGCTGGTTGGATCTAGAAAAATGACTAATTTTAGTAGGAACTTAATCTAGATCCAGACCATTCTCCTTGGATTTTCTCTTATATGAGAACTTAGTTTAAAAAATAGCAAGTAGGGCAACAATTATATAATCTTCATACTTCCCTAGTCTAAAGCATTGCAGAGTGCATCTTAAACTAATTTTCTGAATATTTCAGCTACAGTTACTGTAACCATTTGACCAGATTGAATAGACTTGATCAAATGACTGGTCAAGGTTTTTTTTGGGGGGTGGGGGGGTGGGGAGGGTGCTTTAAGTATTACTTTATTAGAACATGAACAAAGATTTTGGCTTTACTTTGGTTAATGTGTACTTTGTAACTGTATCTTGCACGTTGTTTTTTTCAGCTAGTAACTTCAGTTCTTTCAACAATTTTTATTTTTTCTATTTATTTATTTCAACCCCATCTTTCTCCATCCCCGAGATTCAAGGCTTCTTACAAAAGCTACTAAAGATACAGTTTAAAAAGTACACATTGTACAAAAGTTAAAATGCAAGTGAACTATAAATAGAATTGAATGCAGTTAAAAGCATTCTCATTTCAAATAAAAATAACAAATGTGTAGTTGTATGTCCCTTACAACCAGTTCCATTTTTGGAATCAGCAGGGGAGATATACTCAGAAACAGATCTAACATTTGAGGCACCAAAATACATCCTGGCCAGTGTTATTCGTAGAGTTGCATTTGGGCATTATGGTTAGTTGGCCAGTTTGCTGAGCCCAGTTGCAAAAGAAGACATTAAATCTTGCAAATGCATTGAGAGGTCAACCACTTTTACAAAAAAAATAAAGAATTCTTAAATCACTCATAGTTTTAACCTAGTAAGTATGTATAAAACCATGCCTGTAGATTTATTTTATAAAGGTGGCTTTTTGAAAAGGTGGTTTTTAAAATGTAGCTCAATGTATATTTTCTCAGAAATAAGCCATCACTCGATGCAGTAGGACCTGCTCCCAATTAAACGTGTACTGGATTCTCTGTTTTAATGCTAGGGAATCGATTAGGAAGATGTTAAATGGAACTTCAACAACTCTGGACAATGTTTTGAAGAGTTTGTTTTTTTCAGCCTGGATAGAACAGCTGTAAGCTGATTTGCGATCTACAAATCAGCCAAAGTAAAATCTTTTAAAAGGCCTAGTGTTAAAATCTTCTCTGATCACAGTTCTACCTCTCATAGTTGTAAAATAAGGACATATAGCATTTCTTCCCACCTTCAGGAACCTATATAACACCAAATACAGCCTTTTATTTTTCAATGCTGAAAGATAGTTTTTTTTTCTTTCCAACAGCAAATAAAATCCAATTTTCAACTGGAAATGTAAAGTGGATTTACCACAAGGGCTTAACAGTAGTAAGTAAAGCCTTCTAAAACATAAGTGGCTTTAAGTTTCTAAAAAGCTGTTGTGATCTCTTCTTGGATCTAGAAGCTATATAAAGCCCAAGGGGAAGCATAGATTGAAACCTTTTTAGGGAATGTTTTCGCTTGGGAACACAGTTGAATTCACACAGTGGCTCTGCAGCATTATCTTTTGGAGGGGATCCTGACTTGTATTGCTACAACATAGAGCTTGAAGGAGGGTGGTAAAGGCTGGTTGGGAGTCTACAGATCACAACACTTAAAGAACACAAGATAGTTTCAATTTTTCTTCAAGAGCTGATGTCCATACCCCCCCCCCCCCCGGGCTTTAATTCAAGCTTTTGTTTTAAAGCTCTTCCCCTTCCCAACTACTATATCCTGTAGTCTGAAGTTTGGAAACGGAATCATGGCTGCAATTCTGGTAACTGGAATGAATTCCTCGTGAGCCATATACAGAACTTAGAGAGCCCCTTTGTCATTACCCGCCTTCCAAAATTCTTTCCTTTTAACAGTTATTTCACAGAGGAAATGAATTATTCCATATTCATTAGACCTTTGCATTTCTGGGACCTTGACCCATCTCTAGATTTTTCAGGCTAGCTTTGGAAGTTAGACTTCCATCCTCTTGTGTGATGTAAATTTCTGTGACGTCCCTTAGAAGGTAGGTTGAATAAGACAAAAACAGCAATTCACATTTAAAGTTCCCAAATGAACCAAGCATTAGAAAATACCCTTCCTGAAGAAGTGTTTGGGGTGTGAAGAAAGGAATGTTAGATTTAGGTCTTGTCCAGATGAGAGATGTGAGTAAAACTGATATGTTATTGGGAATATAGCTGCAGAGTCCACACCTTGCTTAGGACCAGCCCAACTTGGAAACCTGTTAAGGATGAGGCAGCTACTTTGACTTACTAAATTGTGAAGTGAAACGTAATTATTTCAGGATCTGCCAGTAGGTTTAATGGGGGAGGGCTGCAGAGATGCAATCCAAGTATGTGGGACCATTCTTAAAGAAGAGGGTAGATTTGGTCTTTATTTTTAAAGCGCCTTGAATATTGCAGGCAAATTAATTTGGGTCGGTTCAGTCCAGGCTCCTGAGGGCCAGGGAGAAAAAGAAGAGGTGATCATCAGTCACTCAGGCAACTTGGTTTTTGCCACGTTGCTTCTCTATATTGATCTGTGGACTCCCTTTTATCCAAAACATGTAACTTGACAGGGCTGCCAATTTGACATTTAGCAGCAGCCCAGAAGTTGCCAAGCACTATAAATACTTTGCTTTCCAGAGGCGCTGAATGATGTAGCACTACTCTTGGGGCTTTTCTCTCTTGTCTTCATTGTGTCATACGCAGTAAGCTCAGGTTCTTGTTTTGGGAATCTTTTCTTCCCCTTTTTAGTTCCTTTTTTGCCTCCTCTTTTGCATGGGATCACTCTCCGTAGCACCTAGTCTTTCAGCTTATGGATTCCTTGATGCACAGTCAGCATTCCTTATGGAGCCACTCAAGAGATGACAGCGCTTCCTCTCAGTCTTTTTTGGTTGGGGTACGAACCAGTTTAACCTGGATTGTGTATTTGCAAGTTATTTCATTGTTTCTCATCCCTCAAATTGTAGCCAGACTCCCACTCAGGGTATGCTACCTTAAGGAAGTCTTAGCAAAGCAACTATTTACCCACAGCCTTTTCTATAAAAACTATTGTATTTCTTTTCTCTGGGACCTTCTAGACAGGCCCTATATTCCAGGATCCGATCCCAGGTTTTCTGTTTTAAACTAGATTATATGAGTCCCCACTGCCAGATAATCTGGAATAAACAGAAAACCTGGGATGAGATCTTAGGATATAGGCCCTGTCCGGAAAGGGCCTCTGAAAGTGCATTGTATCTCCTGAAGAGGTGCATGAAACCAAAAAGTCTCTGTGTTATTTTGTAATCATGTGATGGTTACAAGCTGGAAGCTGTTGGTTTAATTTGAAATTGTTTCACACAAAGTCTCTTAAGTGGCTTGGTAAGTCTGCTAATGTGTATAACCATCTTCAGTTTTTTCTCTTTCCCATGCCCCCTTCTAATGTTTGTTTCTCTTCCCCCTTTCACTATGTCAGCCACAACACTCTTAAACTCCCAACTGGTCTTGTATTTATTTTATGCTTTCATTCTTTTTTAATACGTACATTACTTGCAAGCAGTGAATTGAAAACAAACGAATTGAAAAGAAAAACAAATTATCATTAGTCGGTTGGACAGTTTCTTACTTTGTGTTACATTTAACTGTTCTTTTGACAGCCCAGTTTTTAAAGCCAGGTTCGTATGGAAATGCTTTCACTCCACCTGCACCGCTTTTGGAAATAGCATAACGGCTTCATTTGTCTGTTTCTTTTTTAGTGCATTCATAACACAACACACTTAGCACAGTGTCTCATCTGGGTTGTAACCATTTCCTTTTGGAGGAGTGGGGGGTACAAAGCAGCTGTTTTCTGTCAGAATTTCTGCTCAGCCATACTTTAGTGGACCCAAAGTTGCTGCATTTTCAATATTAAAATCCACTTAACAGTTTTTATATAGTATTGCAGCATTTTATTGCATATTTCACTTTTATAGAATGACAACAAGCTTTCTATTGTTCGTTAGCACAGTAAAAGTATAGTCCTACACATCTCTGTTCTGAAGTTCTAGTCAGAAATGTTCCTTAAACTGTGCTGTCTGAGCCCTCTTTTCTGTATATTAGCTGTTCTGTCACTGCTCAGTAACCTAAATTTTAGGTACATCAGTGATTTATACAGAAATAAGTTATTTAAGATGATAAAAAATAACAGTTATCTTTTTACAACTATTTAAATGGGTTTTCCCCCCTGTAATTTATCACTTTCTGTTCCTTGTACGAAAGCTAACTACTGTATTGGAAATATATTTCTTTCTTTAATAAGAAGTTGCTTTTTTTCTAAAAGTTTGAGCCACAGGTCTCAAAGTCTGTTTCAAGAAGTGGAATAAACAATTCAAAAAGAAAGCTTCCTTTGTCCACTGAGGTGGCTAAGACAACAAAACAAGTAACTCAGAGAAGTGAAGAGAAGGATTGTTATTTGGCGCTACAAAGTATAATAGTAAATCCAAAAGCTGTTTTCGGTTTCCAGACAGCTAACCTATTCTTAAACTTGATTTTTCCCCCTTGCCCTCATTATTTCTCAAGATTTTGCAATGTACTAAAATACAGACTATATAACATAAGAGTCGATACTGTTTTTTTGAGGAAAGAATAAAAGCAACAAATTGCTTAAAGAACAAATAACTATATATTCTTTAGCTTCAGTGCCACTATTAATAGTGGCAATATATTATTCTTTTTTATTTAAATTCCAGGTTTGATCCAAGTTAGGGACACTACCATAAAAATGCCATACATATAAAAAGTTAATCCCTAGGCCTACTCTAAAGTAGGATCCAAATACAGTTACTTTTATATGGATTCAAACAACCTTTTTTTCAAGGTATAGCTTCTTTTTTAAGAATGCTACCCACAAAAACTTCCCCCAGCTATTTCAAATAACATCCGACAATGTGATGATTCATTAATGCATTTTTGCAAGTTTTGGTTTTCTACTACATGCTTTTTCATGAGCCAGGTTTTTAGTCGCAACGACAGCATAAATAAAACCCAGTCAAAAGCATAGTAACAGCTCTTTTTTTAACCCACTTTTACAGGGTCCTATATTGTTCAGTTTATTTTGGTATTCTCGAGACTGTACCACCTTTTTCACAACTACATTTTCCAAATGGTGCATGAGGAAAAAACATTTTGTAGAATGGGAAACATTTTAACAAATGTCTGTGATCTGCCTAAATAAGAACAGAATACAGATGCTTCACACAAACCTTCTGATTGAAGGTATATCCCCAGACATTTTTGCCTGATACACAATTAATATCCTTCCCTAAGTGCACTGTTTGACAACCCAGTGAATGTCTAAAAGAAACTACATTTTATGGAACTGACTCCAAGAAGTGTCATGTCAGTTGCTATAATGTAGTGTAGTTCAGTTCAGGCTTCTTCCCTTAGTACTCCGGATATAATAAAAATGCTATTTGTGCTTTTAATTTAACTTTAAAATCCATTAGATGTCACACTTCAAATGATACTTTTAATGAATAACAGCCATTTCTCAATACCATTTTCAAAATTGTATATAAATCTTTTAAATAGTGAACCCTTATTTTTCTTGTTGGTTAGTTCAGTGTAAATGATAAGCTAAACTTCCCAAATCTTGTAACTTCCATATTCATTGAACTACAATTTCCCCTTGCCCCCAGCCAGTATGTTTATTAACAAAGCATAGATTTGAATTAGGCTCCACTCTGGAATGAATAAGGGTATTGACTGTTCTGTTTTTTGGATTACCACAGCCATTTCTTCCTCTTTTCCCAAAACACATTTTTGCAGAGGTATCCAGAACCAGTGTTTACCTATAAATAGAAGCTCTGAAATTTTTCTTTGAACATACAGACATATTCAAATCTCTCTGTGAAGTTGCATCAAGGATAGTGTAGGAAAGGAGAGCATAAGGAGCATGGTGAGAGGTATGAGAGATATATACTCTTCCCTTTTCATTCTCTCCCAGCCATTTTCTTTTTGAGTTTGGATAGCTCACTGGATAGAGGATGTATCCAGTGAATTAAAAGATATGCACAAGCATGCAAACTGGAGATATATATATATATCAGGGGGAGACGAAGCTCCACAATGTTCCTTCAAATCCTCTCTCTCCTCTAGACTTATGTGAAGTTTGAAACTAATTGTTTCCCCTTAAACTTATGATTCCAACCTTATAGCTATTCTAGCTAGTTTGGAATTTAAAGTTTTTAAAGAATATTATTCCTGAAGGAGAAGAGTATCTCTGAACATCTGAGGAATGCAGTTTTAAAACTTTTCTTCAAAGCAATCTATCACTTGTTTAAGGTTAACAGCAAGACACCTAGGCATGCTTGAACCCTGATGCCTTCCATATTAAAAATGCAGCACTTAAAGCATATTATGAAACCTTTTTTTAAAAAAAGTTAATATTAATGTAAAAAAGCTGGCACTGAATTGCTGCATCACTTCCCCTCCGCTTACATTAATTTCAATCCATTTCGGTTTTCTTTTTGAAAGATGAGACATTATGCTTGTTGTGTTTTCTCCCTACATGCACTAATGGTTCCTTGCTGTTTTAACCTGTTGCTAGGCCTGTTCCATTCTAACATCTTAGTATTTCTGTTAGCTTACATGTGAAATGCATCACCCAGTCTGTGCTTGAGCTCATTTTATATATATATGTAAATATATATTTATTCCTTTTTAATTGGTTTATACTTTCAATTTGTTTTGTGTTTTTACTAACCTCACTGTATTTTTTCAGTTTCATAATTGGCTGCATGCTATTATGTATGTGTGTGTGTATGTATATGTGGGTGCACACACATAAACACACACATATATAAAAATTATTTTTATTTTTGTTTTTAAAAAAAACCAATCAAGTCTAGCCTGGATTTTGCTCTGATTGTGTTTTGGTTTCTAGTGGTGGGGGCAAGTCTGACACTTACCTGCTTAACTCGGTCTCTTCAAAGCCTGACACACAAACAAGATTTTTTTAATAAAAAAATAAGACTAAATACATCATTAGTTTTTCTTTGCACAAATCAACTGGTGCCTCTCTAGGTGATGGATATGATTGTATAACTAGTTTGATTTTATGCTTTTTAAATGTCAATTTTTGTTATTTTCTCCCACATTGCTTTTTTTCCTGTTATGCACAAAAGTTGCCCAGCACACCATCAGAAAGTGTGATGACCCTCCCTGAAACCCTGTTCCTGTGGAAAAATCTTGCCAGCAGGTGTTTTTTTTTTGTTTTGATTTGATTATTTTTATGTAAATATCTTTTCCCTTTTACTGGGCCTATCTTGCCCATGAGTAGTTTTTATTTTATTTCTTTTGCATGCATATATGTAGAAAATTCTCTTGTTCATCATGTGTTTAAATGTCAATGGAAGAGAAGAATATATTATTGGAATATTTTTGGTTTGTTTCTCTGTTCTATCTGTCAGGATAATATTGGACACCGTTTGCTACAGAAACATGGTTGGAAGCTGGGCCAGGGCTTGGGGAAATCCCTCCAAGGTAAGTAAGACATTTGATAATTAAAAAGTTTATATACTTTGAGTTACATTTCTAAATGAGATTACTCCCCTCCCTCTGCCCTCCTATTGCACCCATTCAGTTTTACATTTATCATATTGCACTCAGCCCTTCTTCATTTGCACAAGCCCAGCATGGGTCTGTGATATGAAATGTGGGTATATGCTGGGTTTTATTTATGGCAAGTTGAAAGTTGTGTAATAAAAACAAGAAGAACAGAATGGGTGGACACAGTTTATAATGGGAAATCTGTGCATTATCGTGCTGAAAAAGATGACTGGCAGTTATACCACAATGATTTTGGTTTTCTAAGTGTTTCTTTTACTTAGGGCAGTGTTTTCCAGTTTGGTTCCCTAGAACCTGGTGGACTATATTTCTCATTATACCTGGCCATTCAACCTCTCTTGTATTTGGAAAACTATATATGAACCATGTAACAGGTGGTCTTTTTTTCTTTTTTTCTTTTTTTTTAAAAAAAACATCTTCAGTGTGCTTGCAGAAGTAAGGAAGCATCTCAGTGAACTTGACAAAGATGTGGGTGTGTTTCACATTGTACCTGACTGAGCAATTACAAAATTGGGGAAAGGGGAATTGAACAGTTCTTGACTTCATATGGGAGGTTGTACTCTGTCAGGAGCAGTTCAGATTTCAGATTATGCTGTCTTGATTTTATTTGTAAAACTAGAAGTTTGGCTTAATTTAAGCAATTATTCTGTGACCAGAAGCTGCCACATTTGAATCCCTCTGTGGCTTCCTGCTTATGGTGGCAGTTTTGGGTGTTGAAATGTTAGTCCTCTGCTGCTGAGAACGATATGCATTTGGCACCTACTCCGTCTTAGAATCTTGCATACACAGGTCACCCAACAGTTTGAGAACTGCCAACTTAAAGTGTTGTCTTTAGCATTTTTCCTTTGCTCATTTGAACTTCAAAGTAACTCTTGTTAGCTTGCTGTATTTATACATTACTGGAGATTGAAGCTGCAGTTTGGTTTATCATGTAAAATATTTTCAGCTCTTGCTGTGATATATGCCCGTGAAAGGCATATATTAAAATTATGCTACATTGAGTATCAGTTAAAGAAAACCTTTTTTCTCCTCACACCCAGCCTCTTGCAGTTTCTCAAAAGAGTGAGCATGCATAGAATATTACCTTAGGGCCCTTCCACACAGCCCAATATCCCAGAATATCAAGGCAGAAAATCCCACAATATCTGCTTTGAACTGGAATATATGGCAATGTGAACTCAGATAACCCATTTCAAAGCAGATATTTTGGGATTTTCTGCCTTGATATTCTGGGATATAGGGCTGTATGGAAGGGCTGTTAGTGGTATAATTGCAAGAAAGAGGATGTATTGTTGATGGTAATTTGTTTTCTCTATGGGAAAATTGCCTCGGTGTCTTCTTTTCATTCAGTTGTCTTCTTCAACCAGCCTGTCCCCAAAGCATGGACTGGTGACACTGCATAACAAATAATTAACAACATCAAAGCAACTCAGAATTCTTAATGCAATTACAGTAAATTACTCAGCAAAATTAGTCCTTTTCAAGGACACATAGGGACATGCTCAGTGACTTTACTAACATCAGTTTGGAAGGAATAGATCAAATATGCTTAAACCTACAGATCTATCTTTAAAACATTACACTTGGTGCCTCCCTACTACAGAGCGTAGACTTACTTGCCAAGGTGCACCATAATCATAAGTTGGAAAAAGTCCTCTGATTGAGGTCACAATTCTGTTTTGTCCAACCAATGAATGCCCCCCCCCCGCCCATTTTTACTGTGTTGCTTCGTGCAGATGGGCAAATTGAAATTGGATTAATCTTTATAGTTAACAGCTAACATACCTCTTGCCATTATTCTCAGCTAATGAGGTTGGTAAGTCAACCTCAATCTTCTAACCTATTTCCAGATGTTTCCGTGTGCACATTTTGGGACATTGTAATGGGCTAAATTAGTGCACCCAATACAGTAATCACTCTGTTGATCCCAAGACAGAGTAACAAGATCAGCATGGGTAGCACAAAGTTGATAGTACCAAAACTGTACACTTGAAATGCTGAGCTATTTCCTGGCTAACTATAATTTCAATTGAATCTCTCACATCTTAATTCAGTAGAACTCCTTATCATTAGTGATGGTGAAATGTTTATACTTGCAGACATGCATTATAATAGAGTATTTAGATTTTTGGCAGCTGTATATATGCATATCTTCTTTCATGTTATGTACTCCACCTCTGTAAAGAACACTTAGTACCATTTCATAGTGTTACTTGTGTTTTTTTTCCTCCCAACTGTTGGAGCATATGTATTTAAAATGCTGATACCAGTAGGCTGGAAAGGCAGACTTGATGCTGTCTCCCAGTCCTAGTTAACATGATGCTTCATATCTTTGTGAGGGCTGCTCTTTTTAAAGATGCTCTTTCCAGATGCACGTTCCTTAGTTTTAAATACAAAACCCTTTCTCAAGCAAAGAACAAATATGACAGATTTTCTTCTGTTGCGTGTAAGTATATAAGTTCAGACTTCCAATGAGATCACTGAATTTTGAATGAAAATGTTCACAAGGCTTAGAAGGATTCACAGGAGATCTGCACAGTCATTTGATTACCTTTCAGTCAAATTACTCTGATGATGACATACATGCAAGAGGTAAACAGCATCCAAGGCTCCCAAATTATCACTCTTTCTCTAATTTGTTGACTTTGTGAGTGAAGCAACACTAAGTAAGTTTTACTCCCACACTATTTTTCCCAAAAATTCCAACCACATTCAGTCATATGAGGCAGATTGAGTGGTTTTTACACTGATTGTGTGTATGTTTTCTACACGCACCAGAGCAGATAAACATACTGCAGAGGACTGCCTTTGTCTTCCTGTTTTGTAATGTTCTATCCAAGAACAGTGATTCAACCTTTTCTAAAAGGCAGAATAGAGCAGTTTCAGTAACTTAGCAACACTTTGTCTTTGTTAGTGAATATGTAGCAAAATTGAAATCCAGTGAAAACATTTGCTTGAAGATTTTGTAAGTAGTTAATAGATAACCGATGCAGGGGGTCATTCCCACCCCCTAAACAGAATGTCTTAGTTATTTGGAGGCTCAATACTTATCTCAATAGTTGCTTTTTCTGGTGGCTGAAGTCATGTTTATAGATGGCATATCTTAGTAAAATGCTCTGTAGGTTCTCTTGCTCCTCCGCCAAGCAAAGCCATGAGTGATATAGTTCTCCTTCATGGTTTCTGTGATATACACAAATGTGTTTGTCTGCACCTGCGCAGAGCACTTTCACAAACCTTTATAGGTATATATACCTAGTTGCTGCCCAAATCTCTAGTTCCTTTTTGTCCACTGTGCCATTAGCACCAATAAGAACTTCTAATGGGTTTTCTTTCTCAATCCTTGTGCTATTATGGTTCTTTATAGTTTTTGTGATACTAGTTTGGCATTTTGACTTTGTCTTTGCATGCTCTGTTATGCTATTTCCTTCAGCTTCTTTGCTGAGGTCTGTTTACTGCATCTGATCAAAACCAGGAGTGATGCAGTTCTTCATTGCAAGGTTGTGGGTGCAGGGAAGGTTATGTTAGTTAACCGGCACTTCTCCTACTCCCTGGCTGCCTGTGGCCTGTTCAGTTAGTTTTTGCTTGGGAATAGACAGTCACTTCAAATTTCTTCCCATATTTTATGGACAGGAGGGAATCAAGATATAATTGGTCAAGTAGGTGGAATGCCCATGTGAAAACAAGAAATTGTAAGCTCTTGAAGACACAAGTAGAAATTGGGATTATAGGGAGTATAGAAAAAGAAGGCTGCTCTTGTGGATAGTGTTGATAAATCAGAATCATTTGTGCAGAAAAGATTGTGACTAGCATATACAATCACATTTAGAAGTAGGTGCTGGACAGCTTAGAAGGTGCAGTCTTCATAATGAAGCAGACATGTGTAGTTGTTGTTGTAATAGTACAATAGGTAAAAGGGGCAGCAGTGGAATGAAAGGAAAATCACATTAAGTTGGAAAATTTAGAGAGAGCTCACATACAAAATGGATAGTGAAGCCAGAGAGATATAAGGATTTTGAAAGATCAGTGTAATGCTAATAAGGCAGATAAGTGATCACACTGTTCTTGTTAAATTGGAGGCTACGGTTTGATTAGTATTATAAAGAGCTCTTGCTAGCAGTGGAGAACCTCAGCCCTAGCTGTCCCTGTTGTTTGGATTTTTCAAACATCCCTGTTGCCTTCAAGATGTTTAATGTATCTACTGTCTAGTATCTTATCTTTGGGGTGAATACTAGCCAGCACTTTCAGATAAGAGCATAAATTCTTAGTGGTAGAAAGAAATGGTTTTAGGTGGAGATAAAGCCACAGAAGCTTCAGCATTGTACGCCTCTACCCCCCCCCCCCCCCCCCCCCCCCTCTAATTTGGCATGTATAGCTAGCAGTGAAAATTCCCAAGTTCTCATTTCATCCAGCTATTTGGTGGTGGAGGGCTCCTTATTTATTTATTTATTTATTTATTAGCCTTTCCTTCGAAACTATGCCATGTCTTATGGGGCAGAAGAGTACGCTAAGGGCTCCTCTGAGCCTTTATGAGACTATGATATGCACACTGCAGATCCCAAACAGGATCAAGCTTATGAATGACAATGTGAACAACAAACCCATCAAGTTATTCCTGAGGTGATAAAAATTCATTCAGTACTACCAAAAAACAGTATCTGATCTGATTGACCAGAAAGTATATGAGCTGCAGGCCAATCATATATCTAGTGATGTCGTTGACCAGAAAGTGTATGAAATCCTGGACATCGATGGAAACAGCTGGACCAAGTTGACTGACTGACTGACTGAAAAAAGAATTTATACTGAAGCATTAATATAAACATGCTAGAATCATGTTTATTTTACTGCTTATCTATACTCTTTCTTCAAATATGTGCAGACCAGAAAGTATATGAGCTGCAGGCCAATCATGTATC